AGAAAGGGGTGTACTGTACATAAATATGGTGGGCAACAGGATGCGAAAATCTTTAAATATTCCAAGGCGATAATTAAGTAATGTCGATAATGGAGCTTCTCTTTGCAATGGCGACTTGTTGAGTCAACCCTGTGCAGGTTGCGAACAAGTGCTTTTCCACAAAATAGCTTGATGTTATCGTATACAGTTTCGTATAGAAGATGAATGCGATTGGTGGATTAAGCGGAGTTGAAAAAGAGTACATAAAGAAGCATCACAGTCACGATCCTGCCGAGAATCAATGCACTTCTCTTTTGATCAAGCACATTAGAGCACCTCTTCCTCTTGTTCGTTAATCCTCCCTCCCTCCCTCCCTCCCTCCCTCCCTCCTGTCTATAGTATTCTCCTTGCGGTTCTTTTCAACTAATTAAATGTTCTTGCCATGAACATCTCTATTCATAATTTGGTATTAGCGCCTCTTCTTTAAATTAAGATCTTGCTTAATTTATGCTCTGCCAGAAGTTATGAATCATTTCATATTGCTTTAAACAGGGCAGAGCCACAGTGTTAGTTGCAGGAACCACTAGCTTTTGTTCAAACCTTGTATTTGTATTAAGAAATTCAATAAATTTGTATAAATTATTAAAATAGAACCCATAACTTAAAAGGATTATAATCCCGAACCCATAAGGTTCAAATCCTCCGCCTCTGGCTTGAATGATGCTTCTGAAATTAAATGAAGTTGTTAGTTTTACTGTTTGCAATAGGCAAATGTTAAGGTCATGCTAGTTGTATAATAATGTAATATCTTCAATATTTAAATCAGGTTTGGTCATTGGTTAGGAGATTTGATCAGCCAGAGAAGTACAAGCCCTTTGTGAGCAGGTGTATTTCACAAGGAAATCTTGAGATTGGTAGTCTTAGAGAAGTCGATGTCAGATCAGGCCTACCTGCAACAACTAGCACTGAGAGGTTGGAGCTTCTCAATGATGAAGACCACATCTTATGTGTCAGGATTGTTGGCGGGGATCACAGACTAAGGGTATTTATTAGCTATTCTTTCTTATTCTGCTATCTCTTTCATCCTCCTATATGTTTTGGTCTATCAACTTAACCATTTTTCTTTCGTCCTACTAAGAAAGGAGGTTCTTGATAAGAAAACATTAATTTTGTAATGACATATTTTGTGTATTGTCCAACTCTAAAGTATGAACTTGTATTGAGGAGATATAGATATTTTCATGGCTACAAATCCTCTATCTCTGAATCCAAAAATGATCAATAGAAAAGGGGGTTACTGCCATTTTAGTAGGTCAAAATTTGAGGTCATCTCTTATACAGAAGAATTGTGCGTTCCTTGTAAGTTGATACTTTTCTGTCTTGTAAGGCATAGCCAGTGCAGTTTCTACAGTTGTGGCTGTACTCTTCTAATGCTCTCTTTGACTTCTGTTTTGATAAAATATCAATTATTGTATATATAGGTTAGGTGTAGAAACTTAGTTTAAGGAGTTTGTCGTGAAAAGCTTATGAACAACTCTAAAGTTTGATGTTTCTGTGTAAATGTGAAACGAAAGAATAACTGTGCCCAATCTCTGACAGTTTAACCTTTTAATTAAGTTGGTTCACACAACTAAACATGGTGTCAAAACAAGCAAATCCAAATCTCATTGCCACCCATCTATAGAATACTTTCGTGTGCTTGCATGTGAATGGCCGTTGTTGTAGGCCAAAAATAAACTAATAAAAAGATATGTTCTCTGTCAAATAGCTTCAGGTTTTAGATGAGGTGATTCACACAATTCAGCAGTTATTAGTGCATCTGGAAACTAAATAATCTATCCTTCATCTCTTGAGTCTTGAGGTTACTGTTTCAGAGTGTTGACTATGTGTATTTCAATTAAGACAATCTTGTTGGAAGGTCTCCCCAAAGGCTGGAAATCACGTCAAATTACATCTATGTCATGTTATGTTTTGAGCATCTCACTAATTAGTGATAGAAGGATGAGATATGCTGTAGGCACAATAGGAGTGGTCTGTGATATTAAAACTTTAATTTAGTTGAGCTTGGATTTTCATGTCATTTCTTTTTGGAACTAGAGCTACTGAAAAACATTTACTGCACTAGAATTTGTGAGGTAACGTCCTGCAATGGTAAGTGCACTTACGTAATATTTGATGGGACCTGAACACATTTTTAGTCCTTGTGATTGTGCTTCCCAGTTCCCATAAATTATGTGCGTATTTAGGCTCTTATCTTCTTTCCCTTCATCTTTTTTCAGAATTACTCGTCAATTATATCTCTCCATCCAGAGGTCATTGACGGAAGACCTGGGACACTAGTGATTGAATCGTTTGTGGTAGACGTGCCTGAAGGAAACACCAAAGATGAGACCTGTTATTTTGTTGAAGCTCTAATCAAATGCAACCTGAAATCGCTTGCTGATGTTTCTGAGCGGCTTGCTGTGCAGAATATGACAGAGCCAATTAATCCCATGTAAAGGTTCCAGAGGCTATATTCACCGAGGATGAAGCTTCCTCAAGGTTTTTGGTTCTCCGAGGCTTTGGAGGTGTACTGGATATAGCTGCTCCCTTCCATATTCCACATACATTCGGTGCTCTTTTTTTTTTTTGTGTGTTTAGTTTTCAAGCCATGTTACATTGTTTGTTAACATCACATAAGCACAAATTTTAAAATGGATGAAAGAGGCTCTGATTGTTGAACTTTAATAATTTTGACAGTGGTAGTTTGAATGTCAATTTGTCTCAGCCTAGTATCACAGAGTGGAGTATGTAGTCTGTACAATTGTGTTTGTTAAGCTGCATTTGGAGTGTTAGTTGCCTTAGAAGGTGAAATGCATCAGGGATGATGGTCTCTTTGTCAGCTCTATAACTAGTTAGAGTATTATGTGGGGTCATATATTCTTGATCCGTAAACTTGTATTATAATCGTACAACAGTTCGAAATGTTTCTTAATGAATTATGCCGTAATAGGAAAAGGTGAAGACTAAGGGTGTGTTTGGTATAACGAAAAATATTTTCCGTGGAAAATGTTTTCCAAGAAATTTTCTTGGAAAATAAGTAGTAATCTTATTCATTTTCTGGTATTTGATACGTAAATTAAGGAAAATGACTTCTCAAGAGTATTGATAAATAATTTAAATATAATAAACATGAAGCCATAAACTTTCAAACCAACAACCTTCCGAACCCACATTTTTCATAAACGTTCGAACTGCTAAACTTTCGAAACCGCGGAATTTCTAACCCGTAAACTTTATAATATCTAAACCTGTAAACTTCCAAACACATAAACCTCCAAACTCATAACTTTGGAACTTGTAAAATTTTGAACCTTTAAACCGATAAATAAGAAAACTAAAACTGAAAAATATATTAAAAAATAATTTTTTCCGGGGGGAGGGGGGATGGGGGGGGGGGGGGTCAGAAAACGAAAAAACAGAATTTGAAATTACAAAAAAAATTTGTGCGGCCGGGGGGGGGGTGGGGAGTTGGGGGATGGGTGGTGCGAGAAAACGGAAAAACAGGAAATTTGAATTCTGCAAAAAAAAAATAAGGTAAAAAATAGTTATTTTTAGCGGGAGGGGGCGGGGGTGGGGGTGGGGTGGGGAGTGGGGTGGGGTGGAGGGGTAGTAGGGTGCGTGGTAACGGAAAAACTGAAATTTGAAAGGAAAAAAAAAATCTTTTTTGGAGAGAGGGGGTGGGGTGTGTTGGTGAGGGTAGGGAAGGTTGAGAAGGAGTTTTGAAAAATGTTTTCCCTTCTCTTGATAAGGAAAACATTTTCCAAAATGAGTTCATAAGGAAAATGTTTTCCAAAACATTTAAGTCAACCAAACATGGGAAAATTGGAAAACATTTTCCGAAAAATGTTTCCCTTCATACCAAACACACCCTAAGGGCATCTCCAACCTTCCCCATTTCTCCATAATGGGGGCATTTTTTGCCATAATGGAGCTCCAATGCTTTCCCATTTATGCCCCCAAAATGGGGGATGAATAGCGTTCCTCCAAATATGGAGTGACACTATTCATCTCCTCCATTACTATTCATGCTTATTTTATTATTATTTTTATTATTTAACTCTTTTAATTTATCTCTTTATATATACCTAATTATGTTTATGTAATATTTTTATAATATTAATTTTACATCTTAACTTTGGCATATAATTTTGATAAATTAATTTTCATGCTTTATTATTTTTATGTAAAATTGTAAGTTAATTTTATTATAAGTTATAATTGTACAAAAATATATAATCATCTCAAAAAGAGAGTGGTGCAAATATAAAATATTAGATGTTGCTAAAAGATAATAATATAATATTGAAGAGAGAGAAGAATATAAAATGGAATATTTTCTTTTGGAGTAAAAGATGGAGTAACAGTTGGAGTAACTTTACCCTATTTTGGAGTTTACTGTATTTCGGAGGAAAAAATGGAGGCAAGGGTCGGAGATGGCATAAGGTGCTCTAATTTCTAGCCACATATAGAAATGCTCGAGTTTTAGTATCAGGAGGATTATAATTGTGTTTGTTAAGCTGCATTCGTAGTTCAACTTGCATCAGAAAGTGAAATGCAGCAGGGAGGATGGTTTCTCTGTAAACTAGTTAAGCTATCAACATTGGGCTATATGTTGTTGCTTCTCGGTGTGATACTTGGGATTTTTACAATGTAATTTAACCAATTATTGCAGGTTTGCCTTATTTTTTCGGTAACAGTTTTACTAGGGTGAGTGATAACTAGTGGCTGTGGAAGCTTGCCTTCTTTTTCTAGTAGCTAGTTTTACTTGAGGGTGAGTAATAATTAGTGGTTGTGGAAGCTGATCTCGGGTCTAAACGCTGATAGCTGCCACTGCTGATTCATGGAACTAAATAACATGTGGATAGAATTGCAACACAAGATTGTATGTATATCTGGTCTCGTAGTCTCTCCTATTGATTGTAGATCAATTTCTCACGCCTACACCTTGTTTGCCCGTAAAACGGTACAGTTGGATTACGAGTTTATAGACAATTGAATCGATTTAATCCTAAAATAATAGTTGAATTTGACAAAAATGTAAGACTTAGCCTTGATATGGAGATAAATAGCAGAAATCGTAATTCCGGGAGCAGGGCTTCTGGGGACAATAATAACGATATAAGTGAAGAAGATAAAATTATATTGAGCCTTGAACAGAGTGTAGCATATGTTTGCTATAAAATTCGTGTCCATAAAATGATAATTGAGCTAAGTATTTATAGTTATACCTAGGGAACAAAATCCTAGGATCAAGCCCCTTTTAAATGACAATTATAAGGGTCATTGAAGAATGTGTAACGGTGGGCAGTGAATGTCGTATTCTCTGTAACGGACCATGCACTTAATGCTATAGAATATTCTTCATTAAATGCTACCAGGTGGTAGGCATTTATTTTGCCTTTATAAATATCATTCTCTTCGATGACAAGCGAGATCATTGCCTCCAGGTACGACTATCTTTTGTCTTCGGCACCACGTGTCGCTTTCTTATGCGATCATTAAATATGAACATATTTCAACGCATACAGATAGTCCCCCTGCTTTCCGTGGTATAACTTTGTGCCACCGAGAAGTTGGTAGAAATACCTTTTTTTGGCGGGAAATTGTTTGATCACCTTTGCAAAGTTTCTGACGGTTGATTAGACGCACGTCTCTCCGTATTTAATACCCCGCATGTGTCATCCCACGATTTAGCATCACTTTTACCGATTATCGAGGTAATTATGGCCACGATTTTAGCCGCATATTCCTTTACTTATACGCATCAAACTTCTTCTTTTACACTTCTTAATTCTCCAAACTTTCTCAAACTCTCTTTAATCAACCCGCACTTGCTCTAACCTTCTACTTTAGAGAAAACATTTTCCTCCCTTCTGATAAAAATGGCTTCTTCTTCCAAAAATCCTAGTTTCTCAAAGAAAAAAGGTAATGCTGATGATGCTGCTTCTCCTACGGTGAGCACCATCATCCTAAAAGGTCTTATCACAACTAAAGACTTTGAAGAGAAGTATCCTTCCGCTAACCCTCGTACGTGGCCCGTTGGTGGGTACCCTTCTTCCATTCGTTCTTCCAGTATTCCTGCTGTGAAAGAAGACTGCCATTGCCAAGATTTAGACATCATCGCTCCTGACCTAGTGGAGCGGATAACCTTACCCAAGAAGGGTTTTATGTATTTTTATACGTATCCCTTCACTTTGGGGTCGTTCTCTTTGAGTGGGGAGCTTGACTTAGTTATTGTGGAGTTCTGCATCCGCTACCAGGTATGCCTGGCACAAGTAAGTCCTTCTGTGTGGAGGACAATCGCTTATCTTCGGCGTCTGTGCCAGGGGACGGGAGAGGAGCTAACCTTGGCTCGATTAATGAACCTTTATTCCCGCAAGATTTTCCGAGGAGAATGATAAATTTCAGCAAGCGTGGCCACCATGTTCTGCTATCCAGCATGGATGATGACAACGACAATGGGTGGATGGAACAATTTGTTGCAGTTGCCACCAGTGACATGTTAAGGAAACACAACCCAATAATACATCAAATAGAGAAAATCAACGGGGGCACTCCCGAGGCACCGCCTCGTAGTCCCAAATCATAAAAGTAACTCATGATCTTTCATATATCACCGCGGGGGCCTTTACATTTTTGTTTGAAAATCATTTCCCAAAATAGCACCCCGCGTTTAGCCCACCTTTCACACCGCATGGCTTCTAGTAGTTCCCCTACTAGCCACACATATCAAGCCCACCTTATCTCACCGCATGCGTTTCGACACCCAGATTTTATACCACCACATGCGTATTAATAATCACAATGGCACGGCAGAAACCTCGTGCAAATAGTAACAACCGCACAGCAGAAACCTCGTGCAAATAATAACAACAACACGACAGAAACCTCATGCAACAACTGAACAATAGCCTCAACAATAACACGAAAACCAAACCATAGCAACTACATAATGAAATTTCACAATTTACACCTGCCTCAACAGAACCCACGACCTTTGCAACTCAACACCAAACTCAACGGCAAAATATTTCAAGGCTAGCAATTTTAAGTAGAGAATCCCACAGTTAAATAATAAATACGGAATTAAGAAAGCAAGTAATTCAACTAAACATATAGTGCAAGTTTCAAATAAGAGATAAGACAGGTAGACATGTAAAATTAGGCTAAACATGGTGACTATGACATGCTAAAGTAACTCAATTAAGGCATGAAAAGAAAACTACGTAGCTAAAATCGGAATTCCAACATTTATCCTGTGTACGCACTCATCACCTTGCGTACACGGCCTTCACATATCACGTATCACAACAATACCAAATCCTAAGGGGAATTCCCCCCCCCCCCCCTCCACCACCACAAGGTTAGACAAGTTACTTACCTCAAGCCACGCTAAGTCAATAAATTAGAAGGCCTTTCCCTCGATTTGCCAACTCTGAACGACTCGAATCTAGCCAAAATAATTCCGTACTATGAATATAACTATAGGAAACTAATTTAAATAAGGAAATTATGATTTTAGCAAATAATTGAAAAATCGCCCCAAAAAGTCAACTCGGGCCCACGTCTCAGAACCCGACCAAAATTATAAAATCCGAACACGCATTCAATATCGAGTCCAACCATACAATAATTGCACAAATTCGACACCAAAATCTCGCTCACATCCCCAAAATTTAGCCTAAGAAGTTTCCTCCATCTTTTCCCAATTTTTCAACCCAAATCCCTAATTAAATGATGAAATCAAAGATAGATTAGTGGAATATAATCAAAAACGAGTTAAGAACTCTTACCCCAACAATCCCTCCGAAAATCCCTCAAAAATTCGCC